TGTTGAAAGTTTATCTTGGAAGATTGAGATTGAGAAAGAGATTTAAATGGCAACGAGATTAAAATAACTTCAACTGGTTCAAGAAATGGAACAGATGAAGCACGATATGATTTTAGTGTCGGGTAATACGATGCGGTGCGATACGATACAACATTTCAATCGAACGTTTCATCAATCACAATTCTTCCACGAGTCGATTAAATACTCTCTCTATTTCCTGAAAGTTAAATCTGTTTTGTCTTAATTTAATCGCGATAAAGTTAAATCGGAAAATCAATTGATTTAGCGTCGCATTAGCGCAAACCTGTTCTCAAAAGAAAAAAAATAAATGCCACGATGATTCCCAACAGCAAAGATATCTTTATATTTAGACAAGATTATTAAATTTTCAATAAAAATACGATATTAACAAATGAATACTTTTACTACGATACTCAACATAGAGTAATGACTAATGTATTTCGTAAGAATATTCTGTAGCACGTACGTCCCATAAATGCTGAAATTTTTCGCGTTATTTTAAAACGCACTTCACCAACTTGCTATTTCGTGTTAATCGGATGCAACGTTCAGCGTAGGCAGCGTTTTTAAGCAAATAACTTTTAACCAAAGCATACATCTCTCAGAATAAAGTATGAAATACTTAAAAAAAACTTATCAAGCGCACGTATTTTTCACGTTTTACTAACGCATTCCCTCGCGAAACATCTCGTTAAATCGTCCTGCATTTGCAGCGAGCAGTGAGTTTGCGAGATACGCGTGTGTGTACACACGTGATGCTTCGCGTCCCATTAGTTTCAGCGTCCGTCTGCGAAAATGTTGGTAGTGCAATTTTCGAAATTTTATTTCCGACCGGCCTGCTGAAATTCTCACGCTCTCGCCTCCGTGTTCGCGCGCGTCCGTATCGCGTCGCGATATTTCCTTTAGTAGCAGCCGCTGGCGGAAATTTCACGCGAAGCCACATTAATCTCGTTTCGCGCGTTATCGTCGTGTCGCTCAGACGCATCGCTTTTCCGCGTCATTGTCGTGAAAAATATTTGAAGAGAGCGCGACGCTTCGAGTCACGTCGCGCATCTCGCGTTACCCCCCCGGAGCACGACGTTTCCGGAGGAGGGGATGAATAGCGTGCTGTAAATCTTCGAGACGACGCGAAACTAAGGAGAGGCGTTTCTCGAGGGCTGAACGGTCGCAACGGGGTCGCTTATTTTAAATAATGTTTCCGAATGGGACGAAATACGGGGCGCTCGTGCATCGTAAATAAGCAACGAGGTAACGCGATAAGGCTGAATCAAGAAGAAAGTAGAGGAAGCAGAAGCCAATTTCGACGCGGAATATTTTATCTTTCGGCTACTTATCGTAGGTACACAGCTTATTACAGCTTAACGGGGGATTAAAAAAAATTGTTCTCTATTTCGATTATATTTTGCTGTACGTTGCAGAGCGGACGTTGCTTGGCGGATTACACGAAATACAAAATAAAGAATCTTCGTCGTAACTGACGCAATAAAAATTCTCCAGAGAGAAATGTCACCCGGAGAAGTCACCGGAAGTTTCTTGGTAGCGTCTGTTAATGTCAGCTCAAGAGCGACTCGATATCGTATAGACGCGATGTAAAAGAAGAAATTCTCTGTGAATTTGCGTAACTTCGCTGTCGCATTGCAACGATAACCACTGCGCCACAGGAACGAATCCGCGCCGATTGACGGATGCGAGAGCGCAATTGTTTCATAATTTCTGTAATATAAACGATGCTGCTTTTTCTCCTCTCGGTATATCTCGGTACCAACGCCGGTTCCGGCCAGCTCGCCGCGCCGTCGAGATGCGCAAATTTTCACTTCGATAGCTCTCGTCGCGCTGGTGATCGATCGGCTTTTAAAAACCGCACGGCACATTTTTAGTTAAACTTGGACGTGCCAGCGCCGACGTTCCGTAAATATCCTTCGTTCCAAACCGCGAATTCCCATTGAATTTATTTTCTGCCGCTACGATGTTACATGCGCACAGCGAAAGGAGGATCAGGAAATGACGAGCAACGGCTGATCGATTTCGTACGCGTCATTTCCTGCATCCAGTTACCAGTCACGATCTTTCCTTTATAAGAGCTCGGTCGCTGAGGTCGCCCGCAGCAAGGGAGGAAAAAAGAAATCACCACGCGGATACGCACAATGTGACGTGAAAGTTGGAAAGCTCGTTCTGAAGCATCGAGATAGAAAATTGTGCGCGAGTAATAGCGTGGAACAGCGGCGAATGCCTAACTCCCTTCGGATCGCGACTAAAGGGCAGGGCTTGATGATCGAAACGTGAAGAATGATTGCGGGGAAACACGGAGAGGCCGAAAAAGTAACTGATTCCGTTAGCCGGGGCGTCTCTCGGAGGAATAGAAAATACGAAATCGTTGAAAGAATGTACGAGCGGCTGAAACGGCGAAACACGAAATAACGCTACTCATTGAGACTACGTGCCTTTTTCGGAATATTTCGAGAAGAGAATAACAGGCTGTGCAGCGTTGTCTCTCGCGATTCTCTCCACTCAAGTACGACGGAATTCGCAGGGTTAATGTAAGACTTGAGAGATCTGACACAGAATGTCAGTGAAAATATATCACAGAGTCTAACAAATGGAAAATACCTTGAATACATCGTCGAAAAATGGACAGCAAAGATGGAAGCTGCAATCCTCTCCAAAGGAACTAAGAGTCGCTTTTGTGGCAACACAAAAAAAATTAGATAAAGGAAAAACTCTGCATTATATCATACGGCTCGTACGGAATCGTCCCCTCTTCCCTTAAGCAAACTTCTTTTTGTGGTAACCGGAAGTCTACAAAAGATATGAGAGAGAGAGAGAGAGAGAGAGAGAGAGAGAGAGAGAGAAATAGAGAGAGGGAGAGGGAAGAAAAGCGCTCAACTAAACGCCGTTCGACAACATCTGCGGAAAGTTGGAAACACCTTTCCGCTTCCCGTTCGAATAAATATTTCCGCGTAGACGCAAAGTTTCTCATCGCGGGCATTCCTTAATCCAGCAAGAAAAACTCGAACGCGCCGTGCTACTTTTACGTTTCATCAAGTACCGTGGAATTCGAAATTACATTTCTTCCCGGATTTACCGCGCGCCGTCTCTCTCTCTCTCTCTCTCTCTCTCTCTCTCTCTCTCTCTCTCTCTCTCTCTCTCTCTTCTTTCCTTCCCTTTTCCCGTGGACGCTCTGCGAACACGACGGCAACGTCGAATCGCTCGTAATTCCATATTTCGCAATCACGCTTTTACACCTGGACACGGAAGAAAAATAATCATGGGTGTGTTATCGATCGCGCGTGCGCGCTTATTTTGCTCTCCGCGCCGATACAGCGATTTGCATTCATGCATTCTGTCTCGCGATTTCATTGAAAGCCGTCTGCCGGCCAGCGTAATTAACGCGGGTCGTATAACACGTACTCAAAGGATCCGCGCGCCTGGACATTGTTACGGTACAGCACCGCGGTGAATATATTTACGGATTCCGCGCGGACAGCGCATGGTAATTAAAATGAACTTGAAGCGGCAAATTTTATGACTCCGACCTTTGAATACCACTAGTAGTCGCGCACACGCGACTATGATATTTTGCATGCGACTGTGACATCGCATCGCGAGAAAATCATGGAGAGCGCGAAACTCTCGTGTCTCTCTCCGCCCGCTCACTTCTCACCGAGTTTTTCGCCATTTCAGAATAATCACGATACACGTCCTCTTCCCGCGACACCCACCTAGCCGGACATTTAATTCGGTTCTCGTTAACTGACGCACGACACCTTGCCGAGCGTAAAGTAAATTGAAACGCGGCTGCACAACGCGAGAGTTTCAGCGTAACGCGAGGAACGCGACGCGCGAATGACAATGTGCGCGAATGAGGTGTTGTTAAGCGCGCTTAATCAATCCGGATTCGTCGAACGCGATTCATTCTTGCGTATCTGCCGCGCGTCTCGTTCAGGGACATTTAGCCGCTATAGAGTTTTAATTTTCACACTTTGGCCGGTGCGCGCGATAAATAGCACCTATCCGTCGAGCTAAAGCAGACGGAGAAGGCACCTTAATCCTGAGGTATGTCTCCCTGGCCGAAGCCTGGTCTCGAGGATTAGCACGGCGAATTCCCCCCGTCCGAAAGTTTGCCGACTTACCCCTCGTCGGCCAGCCTCGGGCAGCCTCGTCGCCTTCGTTTCCCCGCCGGCAATCAGCCCGAGTAATTAAAGTAATTAAAGTACTTAAAGAGCCGGCGGGAGCGGTACTTTACGACCGATTGCAATCCGGTGTGCCGTTGCCTCCCTCGCCTCGTCTCGGCGCGTCTTGACATTAATTTCACCGCCGCTGTCGCCGGGACCTTGCCGGCGCGGCGTCTGGAACCCCCCGGGAATTCCTATGCCGCGACGCTCCCTCCCCCCCCTCCCCGCGCCAGATGAATCATTCCCGCGCGATATCCCGAGGCGAGTCTTAGGGTCGTCGCGTCCGAAAATTGCGATCTCGAGATACCCAGCGCGCTCTTACGCAGCTCGTGCCGAATGGCGGCACAGATATCGTGCAGGACGGCAGCTTATGAGAATATAAAGTGTATAAGTGCGCTCAAGTTGGAGTAACACAGCGTGAGTTGAATACGCAAAATCCCGCTACGTGTCTGTCGCGCAAATGAACGCTGATTCTGTCACTTCTCCACTCGCGAGAAGAGATGAGACAATGAGGGGTGATTTTCGTTGAAAGAAAAATCGTCCCGTCTTTTATCCGTCCGTATGATATTTTCACATTGAGCCTCAATCGCTAAATTTAAGCTCGCAGACTCGATACGTGGCAATTGCGTGGTTTATGAGCCACGTGATAAAGATAGAAGAGGATAGATGTGTCATCCCTGTATTTATTTTCTTCACAAGACACCCCTGCGCTAAATACCGTTCGGACGAGTCCGCGCGCTCACGCAAAGTACCTGCTCGGCCTGCTCGAATAATGCGCATCGTACGAAAAAACGCTTGTGTTCGCAGGTGTTGGAATGGTCCGGTATGTCTTTGATCGACCGGAGCTTCGAGGAGGTGCAGCAGATAATCGAGCGAACCGATGACGTGGCCGAATTAGTGGTGGAGCACGCGACCGATATGTAAGTCAACAGCTGCGCATGATAATAGAGTTATAGCGAGATAATATCGCGCGACCTAACCACAAAAATCGATCCTTCTTGTGCGCTCGCTGTTCGCCACCGACTGATTTCTACGATTCGACACGCGCGAAACAGCATCGGGGATCTGCTGGACGATCCACAGTCCGGCAAAGCACCGACGAATTTGGGCTTGCTGATGGGTGAGTATGAAATTTTCCGAAACACACGAGTCGAGTACACGCGTCTATTGTGCTCGAGCCTCACACACATTTTCCACGATTCGAACCTACAGGATTCTCTTTGTCGAAACAATCACGCGATCGGAATATCCACCGCGGCTGCGGATGATCTTCGATCCGCGAGAAAGGGAACGAGCGATGTGTCCCGCCCTCGCGGGATTTTGCAGTGAAAGTTATGAGCGCGCAAACTAAAATTTCATCATACGATTTTCGCAAATCGGCTATCGCGAATAATTCGCTTATCGATTTGTCGCGCTTAAAAATTGTCCTCAATATGATGATTTCGCGGGTATCTTTATACACGTCACGCGAAGCGGAGCGGAGAGTTCGCCGAGCGAATAAAAAAAGAAAACAAAAAAGAAGAATTTATTCGCGCCCGAGCCGACCGAATAAAGCACACCTGTCATCGGCCGACCGTTTGTAACGCGATAACGTACGTTGTAATGAAATATAAAACACTGACGGTCCGTACATTTTCGGTTGATCCTACGTCGAGGGTCGAGGTCAGCGGCGGAGATTGGTCACCGCGAAAGTGGGTCGTCATAGAGAAAAGAGGAAAAGCCTAAAAGGTGGCACAGTAGGCGTGTGTGCCTCGTATATACGCGCCGGTGACCCTCGAAAATAAATGCCTCCGAGTTGTAAACGATGGCTCTATATAGCGAGTAAATGTTCTCGGGTATTCCAGGACGTCGCGAGGACGAGAATATTCTCTGACACCGCTGACACGGTTTCGCGCGTACGGCCTTAAAAATACTCGCAAGACGGACGAGTATTTTCGTATCCCTGAATATTTGCTCGATGCCGTTAAATTCGTACTCCATCGCTTTACTCGCGAATTAACTGCCGCGTATCGCGCGACTCGTCCTTAAATAAATCACCGTTAAAAATGGAAGCCCCCTCCTCCTTTGGGGGGTTATTCAGGCATAAGCCTGATGGAGCGCGCGCTCCAGGAGATTCTTGACGCTCCGTTCGGCTCGATTTTCCTTGCATTTACGCCGAAGAGTGTAAAATTTGCGCGCCGGTTTCTTCTTCAACTCATTTTGCTCACATATTCAACTACTTCGAAGCTTCCGTAGATTATTTGATTATTCCCTTATCAACAGATCATCTTATACATTGTGTACGTCCAAATTTAATTAAACTTTAAAAACGCTCTCAACACGCTCCCTACACTCACTCTCTCAACACGCGTTTGCGCTTACACGAAGCGAGTCAAGAAGCGAGTCTCAAGCACGAGCCGTGCTGAACCCTTCGTGAAATCATCGTGCTAAACCCTTCGTCGTCCGTAATCGCTATGGAGGAAAGAAAAGAAGAAAGAAAGAAAAACGAGCGCAAACGTGCGCGTGTAATGTGCGTGAATACTGATACGATGCATCTTGAAATATCTTTTTGCAGAAACCGAAACGGACAAAGCACCTTCGTCGCCGACGCGCAGGAAACTGCCAAAGACGCCGGTATAACGAGTTCATAAATTGACACCTACACACATGACCGTCTCTCTCTTCCTCTCTCTCTCTTTCTCTCTCTCTCTCTCTCTCTCTCTCTCTCTCTCTCTCTCTCTCTCTCTCTCCCTCTCTCTCTCTCTCTCCCTCTCTCTCTCTCCCCCTCTCTCTCTCTCTCTCTCTCTCTTTCTCTCTCTCTCTCTCTCTGTCTGTCTTTCTCTCATTCCTACACGATGTACACGATGCATACGCAGACTCGGGGATAAGCACGCTTAGATCGCGAATAAGAGCGCAAAGAGAAAAGAAAAATAAAAGGAAGGAGAAGGAAAAGAAAAGAAAGAGAAGAGTAGCGCAGGGTAGCGCAGCCGAACGAGAAGGGAATGAATGAAACGGCGTCCTCTCTCGTCCGTCTCTTTGCTTTTGTACATAGTATTACATGTAACTCACTATAGTCGCGCGTACACGAACACGAATCGATTGTGCACACATTGTAAACACGACGGATGTGCAGGCGTGACGTGTGGAAACGAGTGCGTGAGACCGCGGCTTTTAGCGTCAATGTGCAAATCAGTTAAAGTGAGCGAGCTACGTGTGCCAAAGCGTGTCGCAAATGTCACGCACGCGGTTTGCAGAAAGACCTCTCCCGCAATCGCGATCGGAACGCCTCTCGCCTCCCGCGCAGGGCGTCATGTGCAATTTTGATCCGACCAGAAAGGGCATTTCGAAAGGGCGCTCGGCGGACCGAAGATTGACTCACACATCTCCGACGTTTTCACCCCCCGCTCCCCCGTTCGTTCGTTCTCGCCATTAGAATTCCTCGCACCTGTCATTCTTTTTCCTTTTCTCTTTCTTTCTTTCTTTCTTTCTCCTTTTACTTTTTCAGAACAATGCACGAGATCGTTGTTCGCAGTTGTACAAACGTCTCTGTGTAAATCGCTCTGTAAAATCAGTCGCCGATCGATCGTGGATCGATTGTGGATATTTGTTTGTACCTTGCCGCAAACTCTCGCGCGATTGTCACGCGAGTAAACGTTAGTCTATCAGCGGTTTAATCGCGCTGCTGATTAATCCGACTTTTCATTTACATTCGAAAGTTCCACTCGCGCGTCATGCAACGTTTCGTTTAACCCACCTCCGGTCCCTTCGACTAACGGTTCGATAACGGTTAAGCGCCGCCCTCCCCCGGAATTTAGCCATCGGTCTTTAAAAGTCTCACGAGATCACCGGCAATCTTATCCGAGCGCTTAATCGGCAGTACTTAAAAAAAGCTGACAAAAGGGTTGAGGGTACTCCGACAGGGCATTATTCTCGGTACGTGAGGACCACTTTTATTCGCGTTGTTGCGCGGATCGCGCGACTCAGCCATTTTAGACACGACGCGGCACAACGAAATCGCGCATTTTCACTGATCGTGTGGCGGAAATTCCGCTGCAACTGTACATACACCAAATGTAACACATTCGATGTAACACAGTCGATGTAACGAGCCGGTGATCGATCTATTTCTCGTCGGCGATGGATCGCGAGGGACGTGAATTACGTTCGCGTTCTCCGTTGCGATCGCTTCGGCTGGAAAGCCAAAAACGAACGATCGCGTCGATAGCGAAAGATAAGTCTGTCCGTAGAGAAACAGAAATAATAAAGGATTATCCAGGAATCTTACTCTTTAGGGTGTTTTTTCGAGAATTAGATATTACGATTAGGAGAATACGCGAGGATCGCGAGGGAGAATCTAGCTCGGGTCGATTCGTGATGTCTAGCGGAGATAGTTTTCGGTCTGTAGTCACAATTTATGTCGACGCTCGAGCGACTTTAGGACTCGTGGCCGAGCGAGCTTTCCTCTTTGTGCCCCCGCGGTTACGTGGTTAGGGGACGGTGAGAACTGTCGTAACTCTCTCTCTCTCTCTGAATTTTGGAAGAAATAACGAGGTCTTTCGTCGCGTTTAGCAAAATACGGGTCGGGAGGGAGAGAAATTGTACATTAAGGAACTTCGCGATATACGCGACTGTATGTGTCAGCCTTGTAAATTTACACGAAACAATGATATCACGTCGATTACTACCAGTGATCTCGAAACATTCCAGAGGCGAGTGATTAACCATCTGAAATGATTTCATCATTTATTCCCGCCATCTCGCGTGCTCGATTTTCGCGGGCTCGATATTCGGCGATCGGCATGTTTCTTTCGCTCTTTTACGGAAATTGCACGGACAAGAATGGCTTCGCGAGAGAATACGGTGGTTCTCGTGTATCATCGGCCGCCCACCTGCGCGCGCGCGCTTGCGTCACGCATCAGGATTTATTGCTAATTGCTTTTATTTTGCTCGCCCGCAGTTTACCACGTTTATTTGTTCCCGTCGTGATTCCACAGCCAACGGGATATACTCCGATGAGTATCTTATCGGGCGCGAGAATCTCAACAAGGGCGAGCGGAATCATTACAACGAGACCGTTTCGACCGCTCGCTCTCAGCCAACAGCCGCGAAATTTTCTCAGACTGCTCTGATCGACCGGAGTTTAAGGACGAGACTGTGCCGTAGTTGGTTAAAATGAAACGATGCTCGCGATTTGTGGATTCATACGGTGCCGTGAATATCCGACCGAATAACAGGCTGGCCGAGCGTTCCGATGCCGCGCGTGACGTATGTGTACGGTGCCATTGGTATGCGCGGCTATTTTCCAATCGATAGAATGGCGGTCCTAGTCACTCGAATAGTCATCGGAAAAAAAATACGCTGGAGATATTTTCGGAAAATACGCTATCTCTGAATGTCGCTATTATCGAATCGTATTCGTGCGTTGAATATTACACATCGGCCCGTTCTCGCACTTAGAGTTCCCCTCGAATACCCGCATGCAGCATACTCGCGAGATATTCGTACGGGTTCGCAATGATATTTCCGGATTGCTCGCAATTCGCGTGCGCGCGCATTACTGAAGACTAATATTTATCGGATTGTACGATTACGTGATGTTTGTACAAAGATCAAGAACACTTTTCTGTAAAAACGTGAATCGTATATATATATACAGGGTGCTACATTTCAAACGTAACAGGTAAAACAGCTCGAAAACTATGAAAGAGATTAAAAAATGCTAAAACATGTGTTCCATGATTTCGAAGGGGAAAGAGAATGGCATTATCAGTTTTTTTATTTGCATCCTCAAGGTCAGTTGAAGGTCAACTTAATTTTTAAAAATAGAAAGCCCAATTTTTTATTATATCTTCTTTATTATGCTTAATGCAAATATCTTATATTTTTTTTTATATCTTCTTTTTCTACTAATTAATTTTAACAACTTTTGTCTGAAACATCTTTTTATTCGACTAATATTTTTGGAAATATTTAAGGAAAACTTGGTAACTTTTTCAACATTTAACTTACGATATTTCGCTAACTATTCGTCGAAAGGAAAAATAGTATTAGACTTTTTTACTTTATTTACTATCAAGAATATACTACTATAATAGTGCCCTAATTTTTGTTAATTTAATAATTGTGAAATTTCCAAAGGTCGATAAGTTAACAAAAGTTAGGGCATTATTATAGTAATATATTCTTGATATTAAATAAAATAAACAAGTTTAATACTATTTTTTTTTCGACAAACAGCGAGATAAATGAGATAGCATAATAAGTATATATATATATATGTATATATATATATAGACGGAAAGGAAAAGAAATTGTATGAAATATATAAAGATATACGAGAGGCAAAATGAGATATCGATGTTGACCTATATCCACTCGCATTTATCCACACGTGATCACGATTGGTAAGTACTTGAATATCAAAAGTCTAACGAATGTTTCGATAATCACCGGTCGCACTGGTTTCTACCGGCTGATATCGATCGTGGGATTCGTCGTCGACACGACCCGAGAGCACCATACATTTATTAGAACGTCGTATACGATCCTTTTTAGGCCGTACAGCACTCGTACAATCATTAGCAGAAATGTGCGTTACGGTGTACGCCGCTCCGTTCTTTTCGACTCATTCGCGGAGGTGTTTCGCACTTTCGTGCCCTAGAGCTCCCAGGAGTATCCGTTGGAACGAAAAAAAAATTGAGAGAAAAGCCAATAAGTATTAGTCGATCGCTCGACAAAGAGTCGCAAAAAGAGATGCGCTTCGTAACGTTAAAAAAGCTACGCGGATTTTACATCTCGTTAGCCACAGCCGCAAAAGAGAAAGATTGCGCGCCATTGTAGAATCTCGTACACGTAAAGGCCATCACAGACAAATGAACGTAAGCGGTAAAGAAACTGACCAATCACAATCAATTATTCTCGTAAGTTTTAAAATGGCGTCTCTAAATTTCGATTGTGATTGGTCGATTTGCTTACTGCTTACTACGTCTTACTGCTTAAGTTCGTTTGTGTGCGATGGTCTTTACTCGCAATTGGCGAACATTGTAAATACTAATATATCAGGATCGACTTTGCGCGAATTTTCAAGCGCGCTGAATCTGTCAGGAAACCTCATATCTGTGCCTGTGAAATATCGAGCCTAAAAGAGCGGAATTACAATAATACTGATGAGTTGTGACGAGATAAAAATTTCAACATCGCGTTCAAGTGCGGGCCAATTACGAGAGTGAATATTGCAGCGTGTATCGATATTCGTGCCGTTCCGTAATATCGGAAGCTCCGGGCTTCGGAAAACATTTTCTTCCCTTCTTTCTTTCTTTTTTCCCCTTTTAATTCGGACACCATTACCTTTTAATGCGAATTTTCAAACGCTACCGACGCCTGTCACGCGTCGAATTAATTCAATCTATTAGCGTTGGAGCCTGTTCTACCGTCGTTTCGCGCGACCGTTAATTCGATCGTTTACCGATGCGTCACCGGTTCATTCCGGTCCGCCCGATTAATTATCGCAATCGAACGCGACACACGAATCGGCCGGCTGTAATTGCATCGATTAATTGCGAGCTTACGAACACCTCCGTCCGTCGGTTTCGCGTACAGGGAGAAGAAACAGACACCCACGCGACACACACCGC